ACTGCTGCTGCTGCTGCTGCTGGTGGTGGTGGTGGTGGTGATGATGATGATGATGATGATGATGATGATGATGATGATGGTGACTCCGCTAGTGCCGCGCCATGTAACACAACAACTGAAGGACGCTCGGGAAGCAGAAACACCAGAGGCTCTCACGCCATAGCCAAAAGATAACCCTCGGATGCGACAGCAGGCTCAGGCCCAAAGCGCCCATGCAACAGAATCGCTTGGCAGGACATTGCCGTGCCCGCGAAAGAACCAGTCACCGCGGGCAGGAACCTGCCGCCTCTCGAGAAGTCGAACACCAGGAGAAGAGCCCAGCAGCGCGCCCTGCCAGACGACTTCCTCGTGCTTCCTCACGGGAGCGGGGGAGCGGGGGAGCCGGCTGCTCATCCCCGTGGCCCAGGCCACGCTCCCCCCCCCCGCCCGCAGCGGGCCCGCCCTTCCTGCTCCGCGCTCCGTCCTCCACGGAGGCCCGGGCCGCACCTCCGTACCCTCAGGACGCGCGGCGTGCGAAGCGATCGCTGGGCCCCGACGCCGCGTGCCTGCCGCCCTCTGCGGGGCGCCCGCGGAGGCAGCCGCGCAGCGCAGGGGGCACGCGCGCGGGCCGGCCTGGCACGCCTGGTGCTCCGAGCGCGCTGGGAGGCGTGGAGCAGACCTGCCGAGCCAGGCGGGGGGCCCCGCAGGGGGACGCCCTCCGCCGCCTCGCCCACGACCCAGGGGAGCTCCACTGCCGCCGCCTCCCCTGCGTCCGCGAGGGCGCCCAGGTCCACGCCGTCCCGGGACGTCACGGGTCGGGAAGCCTCGCGGCCGCCGGCGAAGGCGCCAGCAGGCACAGTGGAGGCGTCGAGGAGGCCCCTGGCAGGGTGCCACGCGGTGCCCACCACTCCAGGAGGAAGAGTGCCTCAGAAGACAGAGTGCACGTGGCCACGCGCCCAGCGCGCACGCTTCAACTGCAGCAGCCACACGACGCCGCGGCGGCAACATACCCACGACGCCACGGCAACCTGCCTCGTAGTATGCAGTACGGGAGCCGCTTCGATCATGTCTTCGAACGCCGTTGGGCGCTACAGCTAAAACACACTACCCCAGACGTACCCAACCCCTTTCTCCACGCGAGGCGAATATTTGCATGAACGCTCCATGCAAAAGACACATCGCCAGATGTGCACAACCTGCGCTGGCCTCATCTCCGCCGTGCCTCCTACGAGCCTGAGTGGCGACGATTGCGCTCTTCGGAGCCTCCCCGGGAGCCCCGAGGTCTCGGCTGGATCTGCGTGGCCCCAGACTCCGCTGGACCTCCCAGGAGTCCACGATCGTGGTGACAGTTGCGCAGTTAGCAGCCACCGCAGCCACCCATGGAGAAGCGAGGTCTCGTCTGTGTGCGCGTGGCACGCGAGTCCGTTGGGCCTCCCGGGAGCCCACGAACGTGGCGACGGTTGCGCAGTCCGCAGCCCCCGAGGGAGCCGCGAGGTCTCGGCTGGGTGCGCGTACTCCCCGACTCCGCCGTGCCTAGTCCGCAGCCCCCGAGGAGGAGGCAGGAGGGGGGAGGAGAAGGAGAAGGGGAAAAAGGAAGGGTTGTGCGGCCGCAGTGCTCTGCCCAAAACGAGAACCCAACGCAGGAGGGTCGTGAAGAAACGCCGCGGCGGGAGCGCACGACGGCAACTCCGGCCACGCAGACCAGCCCCTGGCCCAACGGCACGTGGCAGGGCAAGCAGGGAGCGGCGCTGGCGCCACCAGGCACGGCGCGAGGATCTCCAGGAGGCGCGGCAAGCGCACGAGGCCCGCGACGGGCGCGAGGAAGCCTGGGCCCGCGCCTCCCCCAGCGGCGCAGGAGGAGACAGGACCCGGAACTCCGACGCTGCGCTTTCTTCACAAAGTCGACCCAGAGGCAGGCCTGGGAGGGGGGCGAATTCGTTCTAGAGCGTTCTGGAACGCTCTCAGAGCGTCCCGGAGCGCTCTGGAGGGACCGCGGCGCCCGAGGCGTCCTGCAGGCCGAGCAGCTCTCAGAGATTCCCGAGTCGTCCTCCTCCGGCGTGGTCCTCCTCCTGGCTTCCTCCCGCAGATGGACAAAAAAGTGGAACCCTTGACACCACGCCCCCCCCTCCCCCCAATTTCAAAGTTGGCCTCGAGCACTTGGCAGCACATGCGTGAGAGGACAAAAAAAGTGGAACCCCCAGGGCCTCCGAGAGGCCGAACCCAGCTTTGAAATTGGGGGGAGGGGGGGGGGCGGGGGCGAATGCGGGGCCGAAGACGAAGGGGTTCCGTTTTTTACCTAACAGCGAAGACTGATAGGTTTCTAGTAGGGTCAAAAGAGAGCAGCAGATGACTCCACAGGGGGGTCCGGGCGGCATCCGGGGAGCTGGGTCCGAATTCGTTTTTCGCAAACAGTCACACACTTCGTGCTCTTCGACCTCCCAGAACTCCATTCCCGGGCCACATTCTGAATGCCCGGAGCCAACTGTAGGCCACTTCGTGCTCTTCGACTTCCCAGAACTCCATTCCCGGGCCACATTTTGGATGCCCGGAGCCAACTGTAGGCCACTTCGTGCTCTTCGACTTCCCAGAACTCCATTCCCGGGCCACATTTTGAATGCCCGGAGCCAACTGTAGGCCACTTCGTGTTCTTCGAGTTCCCAGAACTCCATTCCTGGGCGTGATTTTGAATGCCCGGAACCAACTGTAGGCCATTTCGTGTTTTTCTAGTTCCCAGAATTCCACTCCTTGGCCACATTCTGCATGCTGAGGCAAGCTGATGCTGCGGCCGAGGCAGGCTGAGGCTGAGGCAGGCTGAGGCCGAGGCTGAAGGCAGACTGGGCTGAGGCTGAAGCAGACTGAGGCTGAGGCTGAGGCAGGCTGAGACTGAGGCAGGCTGAGGCTGAGGCAGCTGTGACTGCGACTGCCGTTGCCACTGCGACTGTCATCGCGAATGCGACTACGAGTGCGAGAACAGCAGAATTCTACAACTGGATTCTCATCCGAGTCTTAAAGGGAATGCTTCCAGATATGCTCCTACACATCGCTGTTAGGTTGCTTTGCCGGGATAATCTGTCCCCTTACCGTCCCCTGGGCCACCTAGACCGGCGGAGGCGGCCGTAGGCAGCGTTCGGGCGTGCGCATCTTCTTTTCTGTCGGGCCTGTCCCCCTACAGGGGGATTGTCGACCAAAAATTAAAAATACCCCCAAAAATACACCAAAAAGGTAAACAAATACTCAAAAAATAGTCCCTGGGCTATTTTTGGATCATTGTTTGATTATGTTTGGGGCATGTTGTATTTTTCGTCGGAAATTCCCCTGTCGGGGGACAGGCCCGACTTAAATCTCCTTCTCGGCGAGGACCATCGAAGGGCAGCTTGGAGCACCCCGCGAAGAAAAAAACACCGCGCACGGGGAAGGGGCGTGTCCGAGCGACGGCGAGGGCCGGAGGCAGGGGGCCACAGAGCAGGTCGGCCACGCGCCGGGGGGGGGGGGGGGGGGGCAGGCGCAGAGGGGGGAGGCTTCTTCGAGGGGGGGGAAGCTTCTTCGGCCTCGAAGAAGCCTCCCCCCCCTCGAGGGGGGGAGGGCTTCTTCGAGGGAGGCCACTTCTCAGAAGGCGCGGGCCCTGCCTGTAGACGTGAGGCTGGCGCCTTCGAAGGAGCAGCCTCCTCCTGAGAAGCCTTCTCCCCCCATTTTTAACCGACCAGAAAAAGACAAACCTTCCGTCGAGATGGTGCGTGCCAGCTAGCCCGCCAGCGTTTTCGAATTACTCTTGAGCTTTGCCGTTTCGCTCTTAGGGAAGCTCCACGAGCCATTTTTGTTCCGGGACAGCTCCTTGCAGAGTGCTGGAGGGCTTCAGATTCGAAGGCGGACCCCTGGTGCGCGCCGCGTCAAAGGAGGAGGTGGCCGCCCTCGCCAGCCCTCCCGTACATGGACATTACATTCGAACCCTGTGGCCTAAGATGCCCCCCCGACCCACCGCAATTAATATTGATGGAGTGGCGACGGGGGGGGCGTGAATGGACAGAAATACTCGAACCCCAAAGCACCGCCTTTACTGAGATCAACATTGATGTCGGGGGCGCGGGGGTGATGTAGAATCTCCCTCGAATGTGTGAGGGTTCGAATATATTGTCCATCTACTGTCCCTCGTCCGCGCCCGCCCAGCGCCGCGCGCCCAGGCTCGGCCCTCGCCGCCTCGCTGGCGGAGCTGAGGGCGAGGTGCCAGGCGGGGGCCCTCCGCAGCAGGGGGGGGGGCGCAGGAAGGAGCACGAGCAGCCCCGGGTCCTCCTTCTCCTCCTCCTCCTCCTCCTCCTTCTCCTCCTCCTCCTCATCATCATCATCATCACCATCATCGCCATCATCACCATCATCACCATCATCACCATCAGCATCAACATCAACATCATCATCATCATCATCATCATCATCATCATCATCATCATCATCATCATCATCATCATCAACATCATCATCATCATCATCTGCTCCTCCTCCTCCTGCTCCTCCTCCTGCTTCTCCTCCTGCTCATCCTCCTCCATGTCATCCTCCTCCTCCTCGTCATCATCAGCAGTATCATCATCATCATCATCATCATCATCATCATCATCATCATCATCATCATCATCATCATCCTTATCATCATCCTCATCCTCATCCTCATCATCATCCTCCTCCTCCTCCTAGTCGGCCGTCGGAGCTCGAGATCGCAAGCCACGATACGGAGCTCGAGATCGCCCACGACTTGTCAGGCGCCCCCGAGCGTTGCAAGACTGGGCAGGGGGTGGTGGAGGCCCTTCCTTTCGCATACTGCGGTTTCCCGCCTAGGACATGTCTAACAATGAGCAGCTATTCATTTCTTCCGAAGTTTGCGTGACCTTGCTTAAGTGACAGCCTCAGCAACAAGAAGGATGCACATACGACGTACCCACGCCAGAGTTGTGCAGGCATACTGGCAGAAACAATGTTGGAGCCGCTCCCTGGATTGGAACCCTCACCCTTGGACTTAGCAGCAAAGCTTGAGGATGCAAGCCCGACTTTTCTGGCTGTCGTTCCAGCGCAGGGGGGGGAATTGGAGACAGCTCTGCAACATGGTAAAAACTCACAGGAGATAGCGGCAAACCTGGAGGAGAACAAGGTCTATATACTCAACGAGTACGCGGCCAACGTAACTCCTCAAGTGGATTCATATTCAGTCGGGGTCCCTGCGTCCATAGTTGTCTTGCAGGGGCCAAGCCGACTCAGCAGCAGGAAACTCACAGCCCAAAGTGGCCTTGTGTTACCTTACAGTTTACCTTACCCCATCTGACCTCATCATCCTCTTCTCTGTTCTCCTCCCTCCTCCCCCCTCCTCGTTTACCTCCTCGTCGTCATCGTTTTGCTCGCCCATCCGTTTGCGCCTCCTCCACTTCTCGCCCCCCGCCTGATCGTATCCTCTTGCTCTTGCTGCGCTCCCTCCTTGTAGTTTCTCTTCTTACCATTCATGTTGTTTTACTTTGTCATGTGGTATCATCACTACCCTTCGTTCTCTTTCACGTGCTCCGCATCACCATCGTCATCATCATGGCTGTCATCCTCCGTTGCATATGCACATGCTCCACAGATATGGATGCACATGTCTGTACACGTGTATACAGACATACTTTGCACACATACACATGTATATACATATAGATGTACAGGGTGTATACGACAACCCTCTCACGGCTACTCTCATCCCGTCCCTCTCTCTACACACTCGTTTGTATCCATGCTTTTGGGGCGCTTCCTTCAGAAATGATGATACCACCTGGGCGTGCTCATGTTTATCCCCACTCCCCATTTTCGTTTTGCCTGTCCTCACAGGTTCCTCATCATCCCATACTTCTTGCTCAATCGATTCCGCTGCCCGCCATATTCACCTCCACGCTCCTGTCCGCACTCCTCCTCCTTTTCCTCCTCCTCCTCGGCAAACCTCGGCGCCCTCGGCGTCACCGCGTCCCCCGACCAAAGGTGTGTTGAAGTGGGCGTGACAGGGCGAGGAGGAGGACGAGGAAGAGGAGGACGAGGAGGAGGAGGAGGAGGAGGAGGAGGAGGACGAGGCGGATGAGGAGGAGGGGGAGGATGAGGAGGAGGAGGAGGAGGAGGAGGAGGAGGAGGAGGAGGAAGAGTGGGAGGAGGAGGAGGAGAATTCTAATTCTAATCCTGACTGAAGTATCATCCTCCCCTGGTGAGGCCGCTCAAGAAACAAATCACAAATCAGGGAAACTGGTGCCCGATTTCGGGGGCAGCCCCCCAGAGAGCCGCGAGAACACTTCGGGGCCCGCTTGCCGCAGAGCCTGGAGAGTGACCGAGGGGGATTGACTGTGCAACATCCTCCAGACACCTCACAGGCAAGAACTCCTCTCAGCACTGCAACCTGATGGGATGAACCACAAAACTCTGCCAAAGGGTGGTCCAGAGCCGCCCCCCCCCCGACTGGCACGGCCGCGAGATCACCAGGGACAGGGTCATCCATCCCACTCGGAACGGCAACAGGCCTCGGGGGCAGGCTTTGGATCTTCTGCTGTATCGAACAGCGCGGCTTGCATGGGCCAGGCCGAAAATCAGCCAGCTTCCCTGTCAACTGGAAGCCTCTGAAGCATTTAGAACACTTAACGGCAGCATTCCGCAACTGGGGCTCGTGCCCGCAATCTCACAATCTACGAACACGCTCCACAACACTAGTTCGTTGGCCCCGACATCTCCTAGGAGCGCGCTCAACACGATCCCTTTCCCCAGTGGAGAGGATCTCCCGCTGGACAGCCAAAAAACGCGATACACCACCCGACGCAAATTTATCGGCCCTACGGGGCTGATACACCAACTCTTCGGGAACATGGGCGCGATCGGCTGCGGCATCAGCAAAACCGCAGTTTGATTCAAATGAACTTCTACGTCGCTCAAAACCATGCTTGGGCGTTGGGCCTGGGTGGGGTGTGACTTAGTCCAAAGCCCTTGGATAGACCCCACACGGGACAGCATAACATCATGATGCTTGGTTCACAAATCCAACATCGACGATCGAGATTTCGCCTGCAAAGGTAAACGCAACCCGTTGGCAACTCTTAGCAAGTCACAGCACATTTCTGCAATGGCCAGTCGTACAGCTGGCTAACATAATCAAGGCGTAAGGCACACGAATCGAAAGCGAATTGTCAGAAGCGCTGGTTTCGACAATCTAGATGTCCGAAATTATCCGTAAGGGCTTCGCCCCCTGCCGCCGGCCCCCTCTCTCGGAGAATGGGCCATGGACGAGCTAAGTCATGAGGCCTTGGCACTGTCGTGAAGCAGTATCGAAACTTCATGCGAAGCCGATTCGCAATCAGCAAAACCAACTGATCACAAGAGGGGTTACCACACCTGGCGATTGGTAAGACGTGTATGGTTTACGGGCTTGGTTACCACACCTTGCGATTAAAGGGCCGAGGGAGTTCTCGCAGTTTGGGTTACCACGCCTTGCGATGGATGTGCGTGAAGGGTGGCACAGAATTTCAGAAATGTGCCAAATCCCATGTGTTTTTGGACCCTGACCCCGCGGATCTGCATGAGGGGTGGCACCGAATTTCAGAAATGTTGCAAATCCCCTGTGTTTTTGGACCCTGACCCCGCGGATCTGCGTGAGGGGTGGCACCGAATTTCAGAAATGTGGCAAATCCCATGTGTTTTTGGACCCTGACCCCGCGGATCTGCGTGAGGGGTGGCACCGAATTTCAGAAATGTGGCAAATCCCTTGTGTTTTTGGACCCTGACCCCGCGGATCTGCGTGAGGGGTGGCACCGAATTTCAGAAATGTGGCAAATCCCTGTGTTTTTGGACCCTGACCCCGCGGATCTGCGTGAGGGGTGGCACCGAATTTCAGAAATGTTCAGAAATCTGCGTGAGGGGTGGCACAGAATTTCAGAAATGTTGCAAATCCCTTGTGTTTTTGGACCCTGACCCCGCGGATCTGCGTGAGGGGTGGCACCGAATTTCAGAAATGTGGCAAATCCCCTTTGTTTTGGGACCCTGACCCCGCGGATCTGCGTGAGGGGTGGCACAGAATTTCAGAAATGTGGCAAATCCCATATGCTTTTGGACCCTGACCCCGCGGATCTGCGTGAGGGGTGGAACCGAATTTCAGAAATGTAGCAAATCCCATGTGTTTTTGGACCCTGACCCCGCCGATCTGTGTGAGTGGTGTCGATTTCGAGCCCCCCCCAGCAATTCAGACAACGCGCCCAGGAGGTGCTAAATATTTGGTTTGGGCCTCCCCCCCCTCGCGCGGTCAATCAACTAGTTACAGTAACCAGCAAGAAGCAGAACTGTAACATTTGAAACTACAAGCTACAACTGGTACAGGAAACTGCGAACCCGCGCCTACAGCCTGGTGGCCCCACAAGGGGGCCGGCGGATTCGTACTCTGCTAATCTTTTTAGAGATGATGGTGGCTTTCTGGATGACTCGAGCTGCAGATGAGCTATAGAGCCGTTCCTGAGAAACCTGTGCACCATAGTGAAATCAACTCCTCCTTCCACTCCCGCCCCCATATTTTGCCCCGCCGCAGCCTTCCACGACGTAGTTTGAGAGGTGACAATCAGGCGGGACCAGGGTTGGAATGGGGGAATTTCCATCCGTCGCGCGGAGCACTTCTTCACCAATGCGCCAGCACACTGGGGAGACAGGATCCCAATTCAAATCGAGAAGCACCGCCAGCGCGGCTGCGGCTGGGCCCCGCGCGACTTGCCATCGGCGCTGCGCGCGCAAACTTGTCGGTAATGTTCTTCCAAACTTGTGCAACTCGAACTCTTTCATTGTGGGGCGACCGATTCCAGACCGAGGCGAACGAGTTCAACTGCTCACATCGAAGCCTACAGCGGGGGTCATCCTTAAAAGGACGCACTAGACTCAACGCGGTGGTCGCACAGGCCCCGGGGTTCCACCGTTCCGAACGCGTAGCCGCCTGGGCTCGCATAGACTGAACTCGAGCAGGGGGGAGCCCTCAAACTCCATCGCCCCGCGACCCAACCGCCAGCACCGCTGGTCTGTGAAGCTTGCGGCCCCCCCCGTCAGGCGAGTGAGGGAACGGGCCCCCATGGCCTTTCGCCTGGCTGGGGCACGCCATTTGCGCAGCTTAGAAGCGCGACGCTGCCCGCGGTGGTCACGGCCTTCAAATCTCGCACTCCATCGGCCACTTTGACTGGTAAGCTAACAGCGCGGAAGGAGGGGTACAAGATGACCTCGCAGATCTTTTATCAGAACAAACAAAGGTACTCTTACTCGAAATGGCAATGCCTGCCTGCTCCAGCGGGTGACAGAGGTGCGCCGCTGCAGGCGCTATACTGGAAAGAAGATCTGACCACGCCCCTTGCTGGGTCTGGGCGATATCGTCCACGTATGCAAAGGTGGGCACAGGGCGATGCTGGGCGCGCGCGAAGTCCATCAAACCATGCAGATCGATCTTGACCCACGGCATGGACTGCACGCATTCAGGAAGCACCCCGCGCCCCGCGGGGATAACATCGGACGCGAAGCCGTTGACCTCCAGGACTCGCGGCACCTCGTGCACCAGAGCCCCCAGGCACAAAAGGTGGACCTGGATAGGCCATCTTCAGGGCGAACCCAGCATGGCGAAGAGGATCCACCGCGCCCAGAAATTTGCTCAGATCCGAGTTAAGACCAACCGGAAGTTCCCCTAAGAAATTTGGCCATCTCACGGCCTATCTCCCGCGGGGGAGCCGCCTGCAACGCCGGGGGCCCTCGAATCGCAGTGCCCCTATAATTGTCGCGCCCCCGAGACCACTCATCAACGTCACGGCCTCGCGCCCGACAGCGCAGGCGGCGCGGGGAAGGGCGCTTGCAAACGGGGCGATCCGCATCCGCAGTCTTAGGACGCATGGGAATGATGCCCATCGTGGTCTGGGCGGGCCGCGCCATCGAACCCTCGCGCCGATTGAGGAGATCAGCGCAGACACCCACGGCAGAACTAGGCAAATACGCCAACAGGCGAGGGGCCCAACAATCAATGCCAACAGCAGTATCAACCTTAAACAGCCGCGCAGCCCTAGGCACCCCCCCAGGGGTCAATGGTTCCAGGGACTCCACCGCCGATAACGCCATCGGTCTCAGGACACCCAAGACATTCGACAGCACTTCCCTCTGATCAGGGTGGTCTTCCCAAAACTGGCTCCAAAAATCTAGACGATGCTGCGTCATCTCCTCTGGGATTTGCTTCACCTCAGTAAGTGTGACAAGATACTCTAGATCATATCGTTGATCGTACTTCAGCCAAGCGTGCACCCGCCTAGCGCCTCGAGGCAACGCTTTGGGAAGCCGCTGCTTCACGCTGGCCTTAGACGCTGCGCGGGCAGCGTGCCAGGCCTGGCCGACCGCGTGAGCGACCGAATCGGGAAGCACATTCAGATCATCAGCGGAATCGGGAACAGCCGTTAACTGAGCTATCCGACACTCAGCAGGCTGACGGAAACCAGGGAGCCAATGGGAATGGACTTGGCCCGATAGACTGGCCAGAGCACGACCAGGCCAAAACATAATCTCCCAGGAATTGCGAGCTATACGCAGGCGATGCTCATGCAGGGCCTGAGAAACATGGGCCCAAACACATGTGGCAGGAAGTTGGAAACTTTGGCCACAAAAACCTCTCCTGCCAATCTTAAGGCGTCGGAAATGGGAAAATCACCTCGGACATTACACTCCTTGGGCTCCATCGTCACGGTTCAAGCGCGCGACAGGAACATCATCTCAGTAGCTCGGCTCCACAATATATGCTGTCTTGAAGCACTCTCAGACAGGTGGTCACGAACATGGGGTAAGAAATTGGTTTCGTCGTAGAAAAGGGGTTTCCATCGACCCAGGATCCCCCATGCGAATCAAAATCTCCTCCCAGGGAAAATCGGGGCCAGGGCACTCAGGGAAAGGAACAGGTTTCATTCGTCTCCATAACATCTGCTCCACCGCCTTGTGATCAACAGAGACCTGCAAGCAAGCGTGCGTCTTGAACGGCGAGGGCGTGCACTTCGCCACGCGCACATAGCTATCAAGGTCGTCGGAGGCCACGACATAGTCGATCAACGACCCGCGGCCCTGACTACACGTAACCTCAACCAACGACGGGACCAAGGCACGTCCACGAGCGAGTCAAAGGAAACCAGATAGGTCCAAATCGCTAGCTGAAACGCTGAAATCTCCCATGATCAGCCACGGCACCGACAACGTGCCCAAGAACTCCGAGATTTTTCGCAGCCGATCGACATTCTCCCAACAGACACCCAGGCCCGACACCAAATGCACGAATCCTACAGCAATCACTGCCTGCTTGGTTTTCAGCTCAAGAAGCATCCAGTGGCTACCAGTGCCAAGGTCCGTCACGGACCCAGTTGTGGACAGGAAACGCTGAAAACGTACACCACGGAAAACGACGGCTGCCACCCCACCATGAGTTCCCCTCCAGGGGAAGGGGTAGCAGGAATGAAGTGGGGCCGCCATTTCAGTTGGTGAGCTCTCCTCTTTGCTCGCCTCACCCGCTCGAAGTTAAGGTGGTGTTCTGCAAAAAAGAAACCGTCACAACTGGATCGAACGCTGGCCGCGAACGAAATTGCAACCTCATTCCAACACGTTATATTGCAAAGCAGAAAAATCGATACTGGTGGCCGAGCCGTGGCCACCAGTATGTCTGTCAAAAAGACTGCTCAGAAGCTGGTGCCGCCGCCGCCGCTGGCGCCGCGGGCGCCGCGGGAAAGTCGGCATCTCAGAGCCCCCTGCTCTCGATCTCGGGACGAGGCCGCAGCCCTCGCCCTCTGCGGAAGCCTTGCGGAAGTTTTGCGGAAGGCCCCCCCGCGCAGGTGCGGGGGAGGCGCGGCAGGTTTTTTTTTCCGCTGGCGGGAGTTGGTGGAAGGAAGGGGCAGGACCCCCCAAGGGCAGGACAACGCTGGCGCCCTCGAGGCTGGCAACGTTGATTGCCGGCTCCTTCCTCTCCTCCTCGCTGCTGCTGGTTCCGCGCTTCCGTTGCCCTCGCTCCCCGCCTGTGTGCTCCAGAGCGCCGTGCCGGGCTGTCACGGCGGCGCTGCCGTCAGGATGAGTTCCAGCCGGACGAGACGGGGCTGTACCCCCCGCACGTGTCGGTGACGGGCTTCTTCGAGGCCAACCATTTGCGACCACTTGTGAACCCCACCCCTGCGGGTCCAATCGGCACCGGGGTGCTGGACACCTTCCGGGGACTCTCTCGGCTGCAGGCACCCTTCGAATCTTGATCCCTCCCCGCGGTGTTTCAGACATCTGACCTTCCGACCTGCAGGGGTAGGATTCAGATGTGGTTGCCTATAAGAGAGGCCGCACCCGCTGGGAGGATAGGATGGAGATGTGGCTTCACGCTCGCCTGTGGTCTGAGATTCTTCGAGGTCGCTCCTGGTTGTTTCTGTGTGTGTGTGTGTGGCCAGGTCGTTCATGATTGTTTGGGTCGTTTCCTGCCGTTCCTGGTTGTCGGTTGTCTTCGTTTCTATGGCTGTTCA